AAGAAAGTTAATTTAAAATGACATGCAGCATAACTGTGTTCTCAGCTGTACAGCTGCCCCAGCACTTCCTTTTGCCAGCAATTCAGGAAACCACAGACATTTGCCAAGCTGTTTTTTTTTTTTTTTTTTTAATGGGGAAGGGTTGGCTGCCAACTGTGTGAGCTGGGACCTGTGCCCCCTGCCCTAGCCCTGCTGCTGCTGCTGCTGTGATTTTGATTCAGATGTGCAAAGCATCGGAGGCTGGTCTGGGCTTAGGAAGAAATGTCCAGTGCATGATGGCAACCTGAGGATTACTTGGTGGGTCCTTAGCTAGCCACTAGTGGAGCCAGGGAATGAACACCTATAGAAAGGGAATGAAAAGGCTTAGTTATTCAGTTTTTCTGGGCAAAAAGGCTGGGCTGACTAAACTCCAAGGCAGCCCATTAGCATGGATCCAGCAGTCGCCAAATCTCTGTCTACAGCAGGCAATAATATATCAAGTCTCAGCCAGGCCTTGCTGTGGAATTTCTGGGCTGCTACCTTGCCAGTGGACCATTAATAGCTCCTTCTAAATTCACTGCATCTATGCAAGAGTTCAGAGTGTGTGTGCTCTTATCTAAGCATAGTTCAGGGAGAAACAGCCGCTTACATTCAATTAAAACAAAACTGAACTCATGTTATCCTCTCTGCTTCTCCATCAGTTTCTTCTCACCCCCATCATCCCACAAAGTGATGCAGAAAGCAATTAAACTTCCAGTGGGAAAAATTGGTTAATATTTGCATAGTGCCAGCAAGACAAGGCAATCCAAGAAAAGGTTCACAATTATTATTAGATACAAGGCTTTGAATGTACTGTAGCTTCTTCTTACAATGTCCAGGTAACCACTTGTTACAAGATTGCAGGAAAGAAAATTGTGGCAGGAGCACCAGAAGCAGAACTAAAAGAATATTGTTTCAGTTTGCAAGCCTTTTTTGTGTGTTTGTTACATTCATATTCTGCCTTTTTTCCTGCAAGGAGCCCAAGATATTCCTCCAACTCCACTCCATTTGATCCTTTTTTATCCTCATAGCACCCTTATGAAGTAGGTCAGACTTTATATTCTCCAGAAACCCAAATGAATAAGAATATTGTTTTTTCCCCTGAGGATGCATGCAAGTCAAATTTTTGATCACAGTTCAAAACTGTGCATTTTTAAAACATGTGTGTGTTTTTAAAACATGTGTGTGTTTAAAAAATGTGTGTGTGTCCTTAGTCCTTAGTCAAAGAAGGGAAGTACTCCCTTCTAAATATCATGCACAGAAATGTGAGTTTTTCCCATTCCACACTTTCCTGTTCAAAAAATCAGGGTGCGAATGAAAATGGGGATTGAATACAGCTGAGCTTTGAACTGGAGTTTGAAGGATTTGGTGCATTTGAACATTTCTGGCATTTGTATGGTTTCTAAAGACAGGCATAAGTAGTACAAATGAATGGTGAGCAGCATCTGTCTTGGATCATGCTTATTTTTTCTAACTGCCGACAAGCTGTTGACATGTTTTATCACAGGTCCTTATCCATGGCGTAGAGAAAATAGAGAGACATGTTTTTCCCCTCTCTCATAATGCTAGATCTGAAAGAGGACATCCAGGGAAGTTGATGGGTGGGCGGTTCAGAACAGACACAAGGAAATGCATCTTCTTCCACCTTGTAATTAAGCCCTGAGATTTGCTACCACACAAAGGAATTAGACAAATGCACGGAGGAGAAGCTACTAGTTGCGTTGGGTGTGCATTGCCTCCAACACTGGAGGTAGTACGTTTTTATATACCAGTCGCTGAGCCACAGTTGGAATGGTGCTGTTGGTCCCACATCCTCTGTAGTGTTCCCCACAGACAACTGGTTGGGACCACTGTGCAAACAGAATGCCAGACCAGACAGATCTTTGGCTGTCTGAAAGGTAAATCGGGTCTCTGTGACAGGGCCAGGCCATGGAACTGAGCAAGGGATAGGTCTGGATTAGGGCTTTCCAAGATATTAAGCAGTGGTATCTATCTACCGAAGTTGCACTGTGTCAGCCCAGCTTTGACTAATCAGCAGATTTGTTACAAAGATGCTTCCAGACCTCATGATGTTGTGGGCATGTGTGCTGGAGAATTGTTCAACAACACCTGCTTGAATAATTTGAAATAAAACTTGAATAATTGCCTGCCTGGAAATATTATTCAGACACTTTAAAAAAATGACTGATACAAAAGTATTGGAAAATTTCAGAATTCTGATTCTGTTTTAAGACTTGACCTTGATGCACAAACATTTCTTTGCATCCTGATGCAATGCATTTTCTCTGAGAAGTAAGTCCCAGTGATCTCAGTAGGGCTTACTCACAGGTATATCTGCATAGGATTGTAGCTTTAAATATATTGACTCTCTGGCTAGAGTTTCCTTATCAGCTGTTAATCTTTTTAGCTCTTTGGTTGAGGAAACCCATCTATTGTTTTCTACTCCTTCTCACTGCATTTAGGAATAGCCTCCAATCCCAAGACTCCAGGCCTGGACTCAAGGTGTCGCCCTAGAAAGGTCTCTAAGCCTACATAGAAAATGGCTGTGTGCTTAGTCCTGGGAGAAACAATGGGGGTATTCTCACACTGAATCCTGCCAATTCCTTACCAAGCTCTAGTTGCAAGACGTGGCAAGACAGCCAGAAGTGTTCTGCCCGAAGTCTGGAGTGATGCTGTTCTTTCTCCCGCCACCATCCCTGCTACAGGAGGAGTCTCCATGTGTGCCTCCAAGATTGGTTGTCAGATGACGAGGGCACAATATTGGGCTGCAGAGGTTTGGGCTGCAGAGTCATCAGCTGCATCCCTACCTGGAGGACGATTGCCTAGTGACAGTGGCACATGCATTAGTTATTCCCGGCTGGATTTCTGCAACATGCTTTACGTGGGGCTGCCCTTGAAGACAATCCGGATACTTCAGATGGTGGAGGACAGAGCTGCCAGGATGCTGTCGGGGACTGGGCGTTATTCTCATATAACCCCAGTCCTCTATCAGCTCCACTGGCTTCCCATCGAAGTCTGGGCTCAATTCAAGGTGCTGGTTATTACCTATAAAGCCCTAAATGGCTTGGGACCAGGAAACCTAAAGGAACGCCTTCTTCCCTATTTGCCCTCCTGCCCCCTGAGATCAGCAGCAGAAGCCCTCCTCCGGGAACCCTCTGTGAAAGACGTTAGGAGATGTCGTGCCTGAAGCCCCGACAGAGACAGCACCTCACGAGGAGGTCTTGTGCTTGGGGCCCTGTATCCAAAAGCCAACCCCACAACCTGGCTTGGGGGTGGCCAAGCAGATAGCTGCACCTCCCCCTGACTGCCTGACCATTGAGCAAACACCCGAGTCCACATCAAAGCAAGAGAGCCCCAAGAGAAAAGACACTACTTTTCTCTACTCAGGAGGAGTCAGAGCAGGCTGTCCCTCCTCCCACTGATGCTGAACTTCCTGAACATGACACAGGAGATGCAGCGGGTGTAATAGACTTTTCTCTAGCGACCAATCGTAGAATTCTGAGAAGATACGAGCAAAGGCAGGCCTTGTTACACCAGAGGGAAGAAAGGCGTGACCAGGAGAGGAAGTCCCACGTGGGTGGGCTCGGGGAGAGACACCACTAGAGGATTAACATCTGCATTCCAAAGACCTCAACAGAAGAGCTTCTCTATAGAGTTGTAAATCTTGTAGACAAGTAGCAATAAAGCACTTTAGTTTTATTGCTTGAGAACGTGTGGGTTGTTTATATGTTGAGCAGCACCTCGACAGGAGATAAAGTACCCAGAGGAGGGCCTTCTCTGCGGTGGCGCCCCATCTATGGAATGCGCTTCCCAGAGAGGTCCGCCTGGCGCTGTCATTATATGTTTTTGATGCCAGGTTATGAACTTTTTATTTAATCAATATTTTAATATGTTTTAATATTGAATTTTATCATCATATTTTAATTGCAGCCAGAGTGAGTGGTTAATTAATTTATGTTATGTTAGATATTTGTATTTTATTTGCGTAAGTTGTCCTGAGGCTTTTGCAAAGGACAGCATACAAATATCCTAAATAAATAAATAAATAAATAAATACTATATAAGCATCTCCTTCTTTACTCTGAACTCCTCCTCCATAAGCTTCTATGGGAATGCCCTCCAGCCAAAGGAACTGATAAAAACCATGTTGCTCTTCTTAAGCACCCCAAGGAGCTTGAAATAGTTATGGACCTGTCAGAATGAATATCCAGAGGCAATTCTGGCCATATGTTTCCTTGCTGCCTGAGAGGCTTTGTGAATTAGCTCTCCTTTGTCATCTTCCACATCTTCATATCCTTTCCTATTTCCAACAATGCATTGCAAAATAATTTTGAGTGGGGAGGCAGGGAAGAAGGCTTCATCCAGGGTGGCCTACATGGGGTCAAGGAGCTTGACAACAGCCAGGATGAGCGGTTGGGGAATCGTTTTGTAGTTCACACACAGTGCTCAGTCAGTTCAGGTTGGAAAGAACTACTGTAAATTAGCCTTCCGGGGAGGCACAAGTCTAACATGGAAGCAGGAGAGGCCAGGCCCTGCGGATCATTTCCAGTCTGCTGCCCTGAGCATGCTGTCAAAGATAAACTCATTTCAACCTCAGTAATATGGTGATCTTCCCCCCTTCCCAACAACGGGGACCGAGCCTGCAACAAAGACTTTTTAATCTGCCCTGTCAACATTGGTGAACTCTTGTGTAGCTTCATCAGCGTGCAGGCGGCAGACCCCCAAGGAAATCACGGAGAGGAAGCGGCAGCCGAAGGAAGGAATGTGCCATTGGAAAGGCATTTCGTATCTTCTCCCCAGCCCCTTCTCATGTCCTCTTGCCCTCTACAGATGAGTGATTCTGTACCAGAGTAATTGCTCTGTTATGATTGCTCCTGATTTCTTTGTTTCTGTTTTTCCTCTTTGCCAGACATGGATTTGTAGACTAAGTCCCCTTGTAGAAGGAAAAGAACGTGGATATTCTGCTGGCAAAACAGGAAGACATGTTCCTTGTAGGAAGATATCCAAAAGCTTCCATCCTGCTGTTTCTTCTAGCCCTTTGGGGGGCAGAGAAGTCTCAGGCTCAGAGAGCAGGTAAGTGCACAGATTATCTGAAGGGGGAGCATGGCCTGAGAATAGGTGTGTGTACATTGGGAGAGCTCTAGGCAAGAATGACTGAGGATCCAAAGACAGGAATGAATCACGGGTGCCAAGTTTTGAATACTCTTTTAGAGGGTTTGGTGTTTAGGGTGCCCTCATGTGGGATGGTGGATCATAACTTCCCCAGCTGAGAATCAGGGGCTTGCTACAGTCCATCTAGCCCATCAATGGCCATGGTGAAAGCTGACTCAACCAAGGACTGTGAGAGCAGCAGCTCAAGTTGCAGTGCTGTTCATATTTGTTTGAAAGCAAGCTTTGTGGAACACAGTGGAGGGGTGGGGGAAGCAAGCAGGGAGAGGGGAAGCAAAGTTTATTGTCCCTAGGTTGTTTGCTGTGGTTTTTCATATGTTCGTTTGAAAGGCATGTGCTTTCTTGAAGGGGTGGGATTCTTTCAGTAGAACAGCAGTCAAATGATCTGCCAAAAAGATGTGATCTTAGTTCCAGAAGTGATTAATGAAGATTGAGGCAGTAGCACAATAGAAGAGGGGAATCTCCTAACAGCTTCTCCCAGTTGTGGACTTCCTGTGTATTTATTCCTTGCCTTTGCCATAGAATCCTGGCACATTGCACATCTGGCATTCTTGGCCTCTAACACACTTCACTAGCATGGCAAGGGAAGGCATATTGGTGATAGATAATAAAGAAAGTATTATTAAGTATTATTAATTATATTTCTGTTTTGCCCATAGCTGAGGTTCTCTGAGTAGTTCATAACAGCAGATAAAATGCAATGCAAAAATCAACAACAATGAAAACATAGTGACATTTTCAATGCAGAATGTAGAAGCTATATTTAAAACCGAATTTTAAAAAGCTACAATTTCTCATACAAACTGAGTCACAAAACAGGTTAAAGGGTTGACATAAAGCCCCAGTAAAACATTCAAGCAATTAAATTCCCTGTCATAGAGGACAGTCTTAACTGGGTGATGAAAAGATACCAGAGGTGGTGCCAGGAGTTCGTTTCATAGGTGGGTGGGGCTTGTGGGGGCTGCCACTGAGAAGGCCCTTCTCCTGCCACCATCTGAGCCACTCTTAGAGGTGGTGATAAGAGGCAGGACCCGGACCACATAACATATGGGCTGTTTGTGGCTGGGAGAGTGATCCCCCCAGGTATTGTAGTCCCAACCCGTGTGGGGTTTAATAGGTTACAGCCAGCACCTTGAGGTAGGCTCAGAAGCACGCAGGCAGCCAATGCAAGTGGGACACAACTGGTTGCATGATTAGAACTAAAGGTCCCGGTTATTAATTTGGCGGCTGCATTTTGTACGAACTTCGGCTTCTGAACAGTCTTCAGGGAAAGCTCCACATAAAATGCACTGCAGTAGCCCATCCTGGAGATTACGGAACATAGATTATTGAACCCAGGCTATACCTCCAGCTGGGCTACCTGCCAAATCTGGTAGAACATATTCTCTGCTGCTAAATCAACCTGGGCCTTAAGTGACCATAATGAATACAGAAACATCCCCAAGCCACGTACCTGTTCCTACAAGGGGAGTTTTCAGGACAGGCTGAATTCTCTGCGTCTAGTCAGATGCATTTTAATCTTACTTGGATTAAGCTTCAGTTCATTAGATCTCACACAGTTCATTTGGTTAAATCCATTCCACCTGTGTTTCATGGACTGCCAGAAGATTTTCTTTCCAGCATGTGCTTATTTGTAGAACCTGGAGTTTGTTTTTTGGCAGTGGTGGGTGCATGAGATTTTTTTCCAACTCTCACAAGTGTGCATTAGTAATAATGTGCATTAGTGTAAGTGTACATTAGCAGTGATGCACATTAGTGTAAATGCTAATCTGTTTACCCCCCCCCCCAACAAAGAAAAGCTCTTTTGGAAGTTCACAAAATACGCATAACTTGAGAAAGCAAGTCCAGTGCAGAATCCACAGGTCAGACTCATAGCTATCCAAATTCAATGTAATCCTTTGCGAATATGTGTTCTTTCAGAATCTGATTTCACAACTGAATGCAATCTGGTATAGACATAAAAGGAAACACAGCTTTGAGTGGTATTTGGAGAACTCTGACAAGCTCTAGTTTTGCCGATTCACACATTCCCAGCGATGGTTAAGATGTCATCAAGGAAATTTGCTCCTTGAAAGCAGCTCATTGAAGAATCACAGAGAAAACCTCTGAGGACATTGTTCAAAAGATATATGGTCACAAACAATACTTAATATTCTGCTAATATGAAAAAGAAACCCTCTTGAAGAATGATCATGTGTGCTTAACCAAAAGGCGCAGGAAGAGCGATTGCTCTTCAAAATGGGGCCCTTGGGCTGAATTTTTGGCTGATTCATCAGTGGATTTTAGCCAGTGTGTATGTGCTTGTGAGATAATTTCATAGCAATGAATTATCTTTAAATGTCAAAGATACAGTCCAACACATCATCCATCCCCTTGTCAGGACCCTGGATTTGATGTTCTTCATTCTCCCTCCCTCCCTCCCTCCCTCCCTCCCTCCCTCCCAATCTCTTTCTTTTTTATACATCTTGTAAAATGTCTCACCAGTGGAAAGGAAAACATTTCTCCAGGCTAGCATAAATAAAAGATAATGGTGCTTTTTAAAGTGTACTTGGAATGCCAGTTGCTTGCAACTGGAGTCAGTTAAACACAGGTTGAAGGCAAGTGACTTTTGATCTGTCAAAGGTTTTTTGACATCTTGCATTAAAAGGGGCTGGAGGGAGGGGGAACAGAGAGCAGTCTGTTAGTATTTCAAAGGAAAATAGTTGCCTCATAGACACGCAGACAGAGTAGGCGAAAGGGCTGAACCAAGACTCTGCTGCCACAACACTGAGAGATCAAGAGAAGGTTTGCATAACAAAGCAAAAGCAGTATTCAGAAGATCTACTTTAGATCTCTTTAAATTGCAAGGGCAGAATTGCCATGGCTCTCCAAGACGGGACATGTTCTCTGTGCCAGGGACCGAGGGCCAGAAGACGTTCCCTCAAGTAGAAATTGCTATGCCGAACAGAAATGTATTGGGTGTTTCTGGTGCCACTGATTGTCTTCATTTGCCGTGTCTCAGCTGCCCGTCATGCTTCCCTTGCAGGTTGCAAGAATGTTCACTACGATCTTGTCTTCATCCTGGATGCCTCCTCCAGTGTGGGCAAAGAAGACTTCGAGAAGGTCCGTCAGTGGGTGGCTAATCTCGTGGACACTTTTGAGATCGGACCTGACAAAACCCGTGTTGGTGTTGTCCGCTATAGCGATAGACCGACCACCGAGTTTGACCTTGGAAGATATCGGACTCGGGAGGAAATAAAAGATGCTGCCAAGAACATCAAATATTATGGGGGCAATACAAACACTGGTGATGCCCTAAGGTATATCAACACATACAGCTTTTCAGCAGCAGCCGGTGGGAGACCAAGTGACGGCACCATCAAAAAAGTGGCTATCCTGCTGACTGACGGAAGGAGCCAAGATCACGTCTTGGATCCAGCCACTGCAGCTCGCCAAGCTGGAATAAGGATCTTTGCTGTGGGTGTTGGAGAAGCCCTTAAAGAAGAGCTGGATGAAATTGCTTCTGAGCCTAAATCTGCCCACGTGTTCCATGTCTCGGACTACAATGCTATCGATAAGATACGCGGAAAACTGAGGAGGCGGCTTTGTGAGAGTGAGTATGAAAACATTACTTGGCCACCGAGAGATGCATAATATCTCCAAGCCTTCTGCAAATGTCGATGGACCTGCCACTGATGGCTTCTTTAGTTGTGGAAAAATGAATCCCCAGTGAAATCACTAATTATTAAGTGTTGTATGTACTTCTTTCTTTAGGTCGCAAGGTTAACATGTAAGCTTCCTTTTCTGCAGCCCAGCTTAATTGTGCTACTTAGATTTAAGTCAGAGATGGGGAACCTGTTTGGGGCTCTTGGCCCAATTTTGTGCAACCCTCAGATTAACTTCGAGATCCCTTTGCACCCCTTCTGTGCAGATCCGCCCCTTTCTCTGGAAGCTCAGTGGGTGTGAAGCAAAAAGGAGAAAGAGAGAGGGAGAGAAGGAAGAGGAAGCAAGAGCAAGAGAAGGAGGTGGCAGAAAGAAAGAGAGGGGTGACCCACTGCTTTTGGCTCTGCTTTGCTCACTGCAAGCTTTGACTTGCCCTCAGCCAAGCTGTGGTTGCCTTAAGATTGCCCACAGTGGAATGTGGTCCACAAGAGAGCTATGTGCCCTGCCCTGAATCAAACCATTACTTATGTTGTCAATCAAGCTGCATGCCAATTCCCATGAGCCTGAACACGGGGGAATCATGTCAAATGGCCAGCACGCTGCTTAACCATGTGCATTGCACACTACGAGGTCACAGCATTATAACCTTGCCCACTGTGAACTTTCCCTCACTTCAGACTGAGGCCCTGCACTTCAAGTAGCCTTTGAAAGCCACAATCATCATAGGATAAACAGTGGCATAGCAGACTCCCCCTTGGGAGTCCCTCCGAGGAAAGGTTAGAATGACTGGAGTTGCTACAGAATCTGCCCCTTTCCCTGCCTCTTTCTCAAAGATGCTGTGGGCAGGTGAGCCTATGGTATGGCTAGGAGGGGGCAGAGGAAGGATGCTTCTGAGGACCGGGTTGTGTTCTAGCACAGATATAGGGGGTAAAACCCATGTGGCTAATGGGGTGGGTTAGAAATAAACAAATAGCAAAAGATAATGCATGAGGAAGAGTAAAAATACTGAACTCTTTACTCAAGAGCTATGCTTGCCAAAAAGGCAGTTGGTGTTTCACCTATCACTTGGTAACTTCCAGCCTTGTTAACCCTGATGTAGGTAAATAAGAGCTCAGGTTTAGCAGTGGTTGGGCAGAGAAAGGGTTCCACCCATGTGTCCATCTTTTTAAAAGGAGTGTGAAGGGGAGCTGCCTGTCTGTACTTTGTCATTCACTCTGAAGGAGAAGCCACATCTTGTTCAAGTTTACCAGGACCAGGGCTATCTTTACATGCGGTATTGGTTGCATGCCCATGCGTCCTCACTCAGTGTGAGTGTTTTACACTATGTCCTCCTCCAGGGCTTCTCCTTGTAACCAGTGCTGCTTTTTCTTAAATCAAAGGAAGTGTGGCATTCTTTAGAAATCACTCCATAAGAAGCTCATGCAGTTTTCACAGTTCCGCTGAAATGAAGCATCACCTGGTGGTTGCGTAAGAGAACGTGCAGACAGTCAGAGAAAGAAAAAACCCGGAAAATGACAGGTGCAAAGGAACTGATTTGAATCCTGCCAATAGCCTGGAAGCAGAAGCCTTGGGAACATGGCAGCTTTGAGGAACCTGTAATGTGAAGAACTTTGAGGCAGTGGTAACTTTCAGAAACAACGAGTTGTGTGTCTGTACAAGTATATGATACCCCTGTGGACATTTCTTGGAATATGTTCATAATATAGAGAACGTGGGGTTGACACAGCTCATGTTCTTGTATGTTAGAAAGCATTCTATTGGTCCTTTCACTTAATCATGGTGCAATGAAAATCTTTGCCTACACTTCTCTCATAAGGAAAAGGAAACGGGGATACTTGTTGAAAAGATTCTGCACTTGGTTGCTAGCATCCACCCTCTTTCCGTGCAAAGGATTGGCCATTCTCACTTCTTGAGATGCTGTCTGAAGAGCCGAACCTACCCCCTGTCTCTCCACCTCCACGTTTTCAGTCTTGCATACCGGTCTTTGCATGCTGATGGACTGATCAACTGATTTTCTTTCTTTGCTCATGTGTTGGATACTACCTGCATCACATCTTATACCTCACTAAAATACATCCAGAATGATCGATAGGGGCAGCATTGCAGCTCATGACAGATATACTTGCCCTGTGTCAGCACAAGGTATTTTTACCCTTGGGCTCCACTGCCATTCCAGTCTAGAGTTCACCAGACAATCTGGTGGTGAGTTTCCATAGAGGCAGCAGGAAGATATATGACTGAGTGGTAGAACTTCTGGGCAAGTTGCACCAGTCTTTTCAAGGCAGCACTGCCGGCTTTCCAAGCGGCTGCTACAGTTGGGCCTGATTTGTTGGTCGCTGCTGTTCCTTTGGCTCATCCATAGAAAGGCAACATTCCCTCTGCCACTCCTCTTTGATCTTGAAGGTGGGTTCCCCTCTTCCCATCCTTGCTTTTATGTATGTTCTTGCACAGCATTGGATCCAGAATTGGGGTGGCCTTGGACAGGATGTCCCTCCCTCTTGTTCTGGCCTCCCCTTCCTTGCCACTGTCATGGTCACCCTTTCTCTCCCTCTGGGCCCCATCCACATGATGGCCATGGAGGTCACTTCTTGTTTGTGTCACTTGTGCAGGCAAAGCAAAGAGCAGTCAGAAGACCAAGGACAGGGTCACACGTGTGCCTCTTTGCTGCAGCAAATGCACAATCGTGACCCAGTGAATCTGTGCTTGGGATGGCTGCGTGCCTGTGTCAAGGCGAAGGGTTCCCTGTGAAGTTTGCTCCGCTTAGCCAGAGGCTAACAGGGGGCGGTGCTCATCTCCATTTCTGACGCCGTGAGCCAGCGCTGTCTGAAGATGATCTCCTGGTCAAGTGGCCACGGAGCACTGTTGTTCCCTAGCTCCTAGTCAGCCTAGCAATTCGGAAGCATGCAATGCCAGTAGATAAAGAGGTACTGTACCTCCTTGGTGGGAAGGTAACCGTGCTCTGTGACATGCCTGCACAGCTATATATCAAATTAGCATGCCGAGTTGCCTTTGCTAAGTTGGAAAGGTGCAGGCCTGCAGCTGGATGGGTGACCAAAGTGAAAGTGGAAGTGGAGCGGGGGTTGGACTTGATGGCCTTATTGTCTCCTCCCAACTCCTCTCCTTTCCTCTCCTCTCCTTTTCTCTTAAATCTGCTTTGCTTCTATCATTGGACTGTGTGAGCCACAGAGAGAGAGAGAGAGAGAAAGAAAGAAAGAGAGAGAGAGCAAGAGAGCGAGAGAGAGAAAGAGAGAGAGAGAGGCATCAGTTGTGCAAATTAGTTCTGTTTCAGTGCTGAGGCCATGCTTGGATTGAAGGAGGCTCATGCCAAAAGGATCCCTCCCTGGACTCCCTGTTGTAGAATCATGTCCGCTTGCCTTATAATCCAGTTCTCGAGTGCCAGCCCTACATTCTTCTGTGTCATTCAGGAAGACTGGCCATTCAGTGTTGTTCACAGGAATAGCCAAACTTGTGGTCTGGGTCAGTCCCGGGACAGCCAACCAACTGGATGAAGTTAAGGAAAATGCATGACACAGATGCAGGTTCAGTGTACATGTTCAGCAGCATCTTTAAACCAGCTGCCACCCTGCAGTCCTTTTAGCCTCTGAAAGCTTTGCAAGCTAACCCTCTGACCGGGACTGAAACAGAGAGAAGCTGTTTAATTCTTTCCTCCCCACTCTTTTTCCAGCTCAAAAGCCATCCTCCTCAAATTGCATTTTCGTTCACAGGGGAGAAGTTTCAGGAACTAAAGACAGGGTGGAAATTCTTATTTCTATATTGCATTTATTAGTTCAGATTGCCTTAAGTAAACTTGCTTAAGGTCAGGCTGTGCAAACAGAAATTCAGTTTTCCTTCAGGATACACACTTCTCCTGATTTGGCAATCAAATTTTCCCAGTTGGAAAGAATATGTAAAATGGATCTTTTAAGTGACACAAAGTTCAAAAATGCAGAAACAAAACAAAGTGACAGCAGAGCATATGTCAGGCCAAAATGCACGAATTGACAGATATGCACGAAATATTGGCAGGGGAGGTTTGCTGTGTTTGCTTTTGAAAAAGGATAATTTGCATGAAAATGCACAGAGTTCAGTACAAACCAAAGCTGAAATGAGAGAAACTGAAATTGATAGATTTCTCCTCCATAACAAGAATTCAGTATCTCTATTCTCTCCCTCACACACCTGTTACCAATGCAGATAGTTTTTCGAATTCCTTCTGCAACAATTTCTGAAACCGATGAATCTCAGACTGCAGTTTGCTTTACACGTGCTGTACAGAGACATGGCAATTAAGGTAGATTGAATTGCATCATCCAGTTAAGAATATTCCTTCCTCCTCTGTGGTGCAGTAACATGAAGCTTGTTTTGGGGTTGCTTTGTTATTTAAGGTAGCTAAAATTGCAGGGTTTCTTTCCCAAGCCTTCTCAACCATTCTGAGAACTCTGTGCTAATGAAGGGGATATAAAAGCCTAAATAAACAAATAAATAAATGCGTGCCCATGAAGTCACACCTCTTTCAGATTCAGACTTTGAGAACTGTCAGATTCTAAAATATTCCACATGGTAGCTTCAGATTGATGTGTGTGTCGAGTGGATAGTGAATAATTGCCTTGGATTCTCAAAGCATGTTAGTGCGATACCAACGCATTAAGTAGGCAGTACTTGGGAGTCATATCTAGTGGCCATGGCTTTCTCTCTCCTCTCCATCCTTATTTATAGGATGCAGCAGTCCAAATCTGGATCCCAAAAGACTTGATTCTCCATCATGCCAGGCTCCCAAACCAGGCTAGGTCCCCTGAACCTACGTTAAAGTAAAAATTAGAACTGAAAGCAACAGCAATCCTGTAGCTCCTAAGCACAGATGTAGAATCATTTCTGTTTTAGCTAGGGGTGGCTGATGAGCAATTGCCAGAGTTAGGATTTTGGTGAAGGTCCATGGAATCCGTCCCTCTA